GCACCAGAGACCGTCTCTTTCTACATTCACGTTGGCCATATTCCAAGCGAGCATAATATTGCAAAAGATGGTTTGTGAATGTTTCCATCAATTAAATATTCTTTTTCTTAGAGAGTATGCTGATGTTCTTAGACTTTTGTCAGTCTTTCACGTCTTACACATTGTTGTTGTACTGCTATGTAGAGCACTTGGACCCAATCAATGTCAAAATTGCTGAGCTCAGAGAAGAACTGGAGTCTGTAACGGCAGAGCAGAAGTATTTGAAAGCACGTGATACACGTCATCGTCATAGTAAGTTCCTATTGTATTTCTATAACTAAATTACAATGATGTTATCTTTTTTTTCTCGTCCTTTTTTAAAAATGTGAGATGGGCCCATGGGCATTATGAATTTTTTGTTATTTTTTACTGGTATGGCCTTCAACTGCAAGAGATTGCTTATTTTTTTAGTGAGAGAAGGTGAAGGTGAAGTTTGTATTACATGAAAGAATTGTTCACCGAAGACTTAGGGGACCACATCTCCTGAATCTCAATATTGCCAATATAGGGAGACCCACAGACTACCATATTCCTCAAATTAATGCTAGTATACTATGATTATTTGTAGATAGCATCATATTCTAATCTATGTATTATTTTAGTTTGTTTGAAAAAAGCAATGATGTATGCATGCCAAAGCCAACTGAGAGTCTAGGTTGCTTGGAAACAGAAATATTTAATATGAAAATAAAGGAGAATTGTCAATGAAACTTTCAAAGATGTATTTCATAAGACTGATCTCAAGTTTTATTTACATGCTGTGACCTCATTAAAAGATCTGGGATCTGTCTTTGAATCAATGTAAATCTATCTTTGGGATAATCACTGTGATTGTAGGACTGAATATATCTTGAGCATATTCCTGGCTTATAAGGGTGTCCATAGGACTTGAATCTACTATGACAAAATGAAAACATCTGAATTTTCTAGCAGATCTACACTCCTGTTGTCCTGTTTTCCTTTTGTTTAAAATTAAGTGTTTTATTGAAATAAGGAGATGAACATAAAGGCTAGTCAGCTGGTCTGCTGTGTCTTTGTTGCTCACCTTGATTAGCAATCTTTTGAAGCTGTGAGACTTCTTTGTTGGTTTATCTTCACCATGCTCCAAGGAACCAGACACCTCATTTGTTATAAGGAGTGAATCTGATAATTTTTTCTATAATGAAATTTGACATAGGTATAAGGTGTTATCTTGAAAAAAAAAGTGTAGACCACTTGCTAAATTTCTATCCCAGGTCCCCCCAAATATTTGATATTGATATATTGAATATTGAAATATTGAATATTGAAATTTCACTGTACACATCATCTTTACAAGGTATATCCAAAACAAATGTTAAGTTCTGGATTAACAAAGAATTTTCCTATTACAATTGGATTTTGCTGAGGGTCAGCCCTAAGCCCTTCCCTTTTCAAAAGAGTTTTGATGAAGTAACAAGGTCTATCCAAGATGAGGTGTTTGTGGTGTTTGCTTTGCAGATGATATCGTTTTGATAGATGAAACAAAAAGCTGGGATTACTGTAAAGTTAGAGACATGGCTATAAAAACAAGTTTTCAAAAAAAAAAAAAAAAAAAGACATGGCTATAAAAACTAAAATTAGGAGGTTTAGTCTTTGTAGGAGTAAAGCATAGTACATGGAGTGTCATCTATACTAATATATTAAAAGGCGTTTATAAAATCGTCCATGTGCCACGTAGACTCTTCTATATTATGCCATGTCACTTCACAAACAATTCATGTCGCCATGTCACTTCACAAACAATTCATGTCGCTATGTCACTTTGCCACATCACTTCACAAACACTTCATAACGCCACATCTCATATTATTAAAAATATGAAGACTCGGAGATTCAAACCCCAAACCACTCATAACAAAATTGACTTTACAACCATCTAAACCAATTATCACACATATTATAAATATGAAAAAGAAATATACATAAGTGTATATAATTATTTAAAAAAACACACATTCATTCTTGATCTTTTAATCCACATTTATATATAAATACATAAAAGTATTATAATATAGAATAAACACAATAAAAAAAATCCAAAATTAGTTTTTTTTTTTATTTTTATTTTTTATATTAGAATATACTCATAATATGGTTTCAAAAAAATATAAATAAAAATAAAATACCCATACGGCCATAATAAAAAAAATTAACATGTCTTTTAAAGTGTCTAAAATAAAAATTATTCAAAGTGTCACCCGGGCAAAGCCCGGGGTCACACACTAGTGTTGGCATTAAAAGGGGGTCAAGCTAAGATGCTGTGACACTGGAATACTGGATGGTATAGACATTAAGGAGTTTTTTGTTAATGAATGTTTTAAGTACCTCTGGTTGATTCTACATAGAAACAGAAACGTAAATCTGGACGTAACTCATAGAATTAAGTATGGGTGGCTCAAATGGAGTATGGAGAACAAAGCAGGGATTGACTGGGTAATTTCGTGATCGTAATATACCTTAAAGCTCAGAACGGAAGTTCTATAAGAAGACAACTAGACCAACATTATTGTACGGATTGGAATATTTGGAGTTTATGAAGAAACACATTAAGCGATGAGTGTAGTAGAGATGCGTGGGAACACATTGAGAGATAACATTAGGAATGTACATTTTTGGAGGAAAGTTACATTGAGGGATAACATTAGGAATGTACAATTGTACATTAAAGTTGCAATTCAATATTGAGAATAAGACAGGAAGAATCAGATGGTTTGGGTATGTAAGATGTCGATGGGAAGATGTACCAGTAAAGAAGGTGGAGAGTTGGGGTATTGGAGATTTCAAATGTAGTCAAGGAAGACCTAAGATGAATTGAATGAAGAGAGTTAAAAAGGACATGGAGAAAGTGGGCTTACAATGTGTGATGTAGCATTAGATAAAAGGGAATATAGATGAAGATAACTTGTTATTATCCATTTAACGTATTTTCTGGATCTCATAATACATTTGACTTCAGCAAATACCTAAGGAGTATACACAGGTTTGATAGAGGATAAAATCTGTATCTTTACTCTGTTGGTGCACTCATTTAGCCCGATCCCAGGAGAACCCAATGGCTTCTGACGAATGTGCAGAATTTGATTGCTTAGAAATTAGTTAACTAGCACCCCTCTGAGGCTCTGATACAATTTTTCTTGGCACCATTGTAGCCAGAAAACCTTTGCTTGCTTGACTGTTAGAGAAGTGATTGATACACTAAGCATCATATTAACATTCTTGCATGACTTATACATGCAATTTTAGGTTGCAATTTTCTGAGTGAGGTCAGTGATTTAAGTTTCTTTGGGAGATTCAGTAAATTAACTATAAAGATGGAGCTGGCATTTTTGTTCCACTGACGAAACGTGTTATTTAAGTTTCTGTTTCTCTTTCTGTTCACTTGATTTTTATGACTTATTTTTCAACTGCGGTGTCTTTTGGACTCAATCGAAGGTGTTGGTGTGTGAGGATCCCCACTTGGTTCAAAACATTTTTTAGTCCGTTTTTTGTTGAAATATATACCTATAAATTTTGCTATATTTATCAGTTTAAGCTTCACATTTCCTGCTTTTCAATGCATCAGATTGTCTGTTGTATTTTGACTGCTGAAGGAACTGTGAATGGAATTTTCTTATATCTTTGGGACTAGAGAACTTTTTCCTGGAGAATTTATCTCATTGAGGATGTGCTACGAGTCTTGCATCTTTATTACTGTGCCATACAGCTTTTTTAGGTTACTTCCTGTTGGCAGGATGTATCTTACATGTTTGATTTTCAATTCCCATTCTATTGTTCTAGTTCTCTCCCTTAATTTGTGGAAAATTTATAGTTGAATAAATGATTATTACATGAAAAGTTGGATACTACTCAAGTTCACGTTCCTATCACTTTGAGGCATGTAAAAGCCTCTCTTATCATTACAAGGTTGTAACTTATTAATATTCTGCATCAACATCGATACTAGTTAGTTGATTTGGCTTATTTTTTATAATTATTTATTTGCTGTTTGCAACCTAACTGAGCTATTTTGCATGCTTCTTTGCTGCAGCAAACGAGAGCACTAGAAAGCGTGTCATCTTTTATACATTGGCCGAATATTTGATGCTGATAGCAGCTAGTGGGCTTCAAGTCGTTTACATTCGTAAACTGTTCAGCAAGTCTGTGGGTTACAACCGTGTTTGAGCTGCAGCTATTAATTTTTTTGTTGCCGTTTACTAGATTTAGATACGAAAAACAGAGTGTATTTTGGCTGTTTTGTTTTATAGATCCCTCTTTTGCCACTTTCTATTTATTTATCCTTACTTTGGCTGTACGTTAGGTGAATATGTTGCAAAAAGTTACTTTGATTAGCCTCGGTTGATGTACTTTTCTTTCCGTTGGAGGGAAGCATTGCCTCAATAGAGGAAACTGGTTGTAGTCATTATCAAAATAGATATAATTTGAGACATGGTTCGTACAAAATATTGATCAGTACAAATGAGTATTAACAGCAGAAACTGAATGAGGTACAGTCAGGTTCCTCCTTATCAACAGCAGAAACTGAATGGAAAAGCAGCAATAACCACAGATTAACCATGGATTACAACTGTGTGCTGGAAATGAAAGTAAATAAAGTGGGAATCATAAGCTAATTAATACCAGTTATAAAAAGAGCAATTGGTAACAGGGATGGAAGTTTTGGTTTTTGATTTGGATTTGATACAAGCAGTCAAGCACTAAAAAACTTGTATTATAGCTTGGTTTTTAGATTATGATTTCTATAAAATCCAAACCAATCCCATTAGAGTTGACTAATTTGGATTCAAACCAAAAATGCAAATGATGATTTGTTGTTTACATAGTGGCCCAAGTAATTTTCTTAAAAAATGATATTATTTGCAACGATTTACATAAAGTAGAGAGAAAAAATGTCTAATCGTTGCAAATAATATGTAACAGAGGTAGTATATCTACTTAAATCCTTGTCCCAAAAACTGATTGAAACCCCAATGAAATAAGAGCAAATTTGAGGTGTTACATTATTATTATTGTGCTCCAATGAGCCAAACACCAACATAAATGGCCAATTTACAGAAGTAGTCCATAAGCAAATTAAAATTCTACAAGATCCCCTCACCAATACATATCTGCACTTGTAGACATACAACGCAATTACACAGTTCAATATCTTTATTTTTCTCTACAGCAAGCTGTTCATTCTGCATCATCAACAGCATGGTATTTGTAGATTTCCAGCATAACTTTATCAACACCTAGTTTTGTCTGAAGAAAGTGGCTCATGCTGTAGCATCAAAGACCTGGTTAGAAGTGCCCTTGTTCACGAAATTTTCAAGATACTCCTTCCTGAAAACAATAAGTAGAGATCCAATTTATTTGTCACACAAACATTGGTTCATTATTTACCAATTCGTAAGGGAATATGCCAGCACATACCTGGCAGCCAGATCATCGTTAGGGCGGTTATGGGGTGTCCAAACTGGATCACCAACAAACAGTCTCATGGCCTACACAAAGTTAAGCTACCTTAAGTAAACAGTGAAATAATGAATGAAGATGTGATGTACAAATATTCAAGGCTCGCAGATGAAAAGAGAAAGAATACACAATAAGTCAATAACATACAAGGCCTATAGGGCAAAGGAAAGCTATTACACATCTGGTTAAAGAAAGTTTTGAACTCTCATGAATTTATTCAGGTTAGAGATAATACTTTATATGCTCAAGAGCTGAAACGCTCATATATCACCGACCAGAAATCTACATAAAGTATGAGGAGAGTTTGATTTCTAATCTTTATCTTTGTCCTCATTTTTCAAGAAATATCTCATTATGACAAGCACAATGTGTAAATTTTGATATCAAGATGAATAAAGATACCAATAATCATACCTTAATATAATTGTCTGAATCCAGAGTAAACCGATGGTAAATTCCTGCAGGCAATACAATCATAGCACCTTTCTTCACCCATACACGTATCCATTTATCATCAAGATCCCTCACATCAAAATACCCTTAAACAAAGAATTATACACAAATATCAGTTTATTTTTCCTTCTAGCATAAACACCACCTCCTCTCCTCTTTCTTTCTTGCTCCATGGAAAAAGAAAATAACAAAATAATTTTTAAAAATTGCAAGCTCAAACATTACCGCTTCCAGCTACACAATAGCGGATTTCTTCATCAGTGTGCAGATGTTCCTCAAAGAAATGCTTAATCTTCTCATCATAATTTGGAAGCTTTTCAGGGCATACCTCACAGAAATCCTTCACGCGTAAAGAGTGTGTGAGGTGACCAAAAGTCAAAAATAAAACATGTTTAATTCATATTCTCCTCAAAAGAATAAATAAATAAGCAAGAAAAATTAATACCGTGTAGGTATATCCTCTAGCTTCACGAATTTTCTTCAATTCCTCGTCAGTTTCATAGTTATCAGCATCCAATTTCCAACTCAGAACCCCAAGTTCTTCAGGTTACAAGAGAAGGAAAAAAATAAATGACATGCTAGAGTAAAAATGTTGTGCAAAATGAAGAAAAGTTCAAGTAACACACCATCAAGTTTCTCCAGAGAAACAAATTCTTTAGGTTCCTTGTGATGAGGAAGCCTCTGATCCTCATTACTGTCATCCATGTACCATGCTTGGATGACTTCTTCCCTAGGATCCTGTAAAGCATGAAGAAAAGAAATACTGTGACACTGTATTATGATATAGTCAATAGATCATGATATTTGGGAATTCAATGCAAAAGATAATTGTCTAAATAATAAGTTCACTAATCTCCTATATTATTTAGGCCTTGCTACCAGCATTCGGCACAATGTACACGCTCAAAAGGCCAAAAGTCACTGCCAAATGCTAATTTCTGAGGGATATAAGCTCCTCAAAGCGTCAAAATTACCAATTCTCCAAACCTAAAACACTAACGGTGTGTTTGGATAGAAGGAAATGGAAGGAAAAGAAGGGGAGGGAAATGGAGAGATGTGATATCTTTCATTTGGATAACAAATGAGGAAGGGAATTGGAGGGGAGAGAAATGGAGAGATTAAATTCTAGGAAATTGATCCCTCCAACAATGGAGAGATTTGGAATAAAAACTCACCATTCTTCTCTCCCCCTCCCCCCCCCCCCCCCTATCCCTCCCCTCCTCTTCTCCTCCCTCCCCTTCTTTTCCTTCCTCTTATGTTATCCAAACACACTGTACGTGTCTGATGAGCGTGCAAGGGCTTGGCCCAAGCCTGCTATTCACATCACTTACGGTGTGTTTGGATTGAAGGAAATGGAGAGATAAGTATCTTTCATTTGGATAAAAAATGAGTAAGGGAATTGGAGGGGAGAGAAATGGAGGGATTAAATTGTAGGAAACTCATCCCTCCAAAAACGGAGAGATTGGGAAGGAAAACTCACCATTCTTCCCTCTCCTCCTCTTCTCCTCCCTCCCCTTCTTTTCCTTCCCCTTTCTTTATCCAAACATACTGTTATGCTAGAAGGAAGGCCAAACCAGTAGCAGCAACTTGATGCAACTTGCTAGCTGATGTGGAATAATTCTGTTACTGAAGTTTGTGAGGAAAAGGGCAATTAAGTAATCTGAGAGAAGTTTATTATTCTGAGCTGTTAGTTTGTTACAGGGAATAATGTATTAAATAGAGAAGAGGGAAAGGGAGTAGTATCATTCACAAAAGTTGTGAGTAGTAGTTTTGGAGAGAATCTCTTCCTCTTGAAAGAAGGGAGTTTTATTGAGGAATTTACCGACCATCATCAAGGATTTCCTTGTTTTACCATAGGGAAATTCATTCTTGGTATTCAATGGCTCGAGAAGCTTGGTTCTATCACCTCCAATTAGAAAACCCAGACTCTGAAATTCCAAGCTGGAGGGGATATGGTGACTTTGAAGGGCAATCCTCAGTTAGGGAGATCTTGTATTTCACTGAAGGCAATGGTAAAAACTCTTCAAAAGGAAGGGCATGGGTTACTGCTGGAGCTCAATCACCTAGAGGGCACTCAGGAAGCAGAGCTGGACACTCCTGCCTATCTTAAACCGTTAATCAAGGAGTTTCAGGAGGGCCTCCCACTTCCGAGGCAGATTGAGCATGCGATTCTCTTGAAAAATGGGACTGACCCCATTAGCATGTGGCCGTATAGATACCCTCGGTATCAGAAAGAAGAGATTGAGATGTTGGTGAAGGACATGCTAAGGGCAAGTATAATACAACCCTCTATTAGTGCATATTCCAGTATTATTAGTTAAGAAAAAGAATGGCTTGTGGAGGTTCTGTGTTGATTACAGAGCTCTGAATAAAGAAACAGTCCCAGATAAATTTCCTATTCCTGTTATCGACGAACTTCTTAACGAATTACATGGTGCTTCGATGTTTACAAAGTTAGATTTCAAGTCCGGATACCACCAGATTCGGGTCAGGATAGTGTACCCAAAACAGCCTTCCGCACACATGAAGGTTATGTTACTTGGACTCGGATGAAGTGTCAAATTAGACACGGGTGTCCAAGCATCGGACTCGTCCATTTTCTTGGAAAAAGTTGTGTTTTTAGTTAAAAATAAAGTGTCTAAGTGTTGGTGTCGGTGTCCGACACGTGTCGAAAAAGTTGTGTTATTAGTTAAAAATGAAGTGTCCAAGTGTCGGTGTCGGTGTCCGACACGTGTCGTGTCTACACGGACACGTGAAGTAAATGAAAGAGTCCGAGTAACATAGCATGAAGGGCATTACGAGTTCGGTCTTATAAACACCCCTGCGATATTTCAGTCTTTGGTGAATGAGGTTTTCAGACCTTTTCTCCGCAAGTTTGTCTTGGTTTTTTCGATGATATACTTGTCTACAGTCATTCCATAGAGGAACATAGGGTTCACTTGCAGCAAGTTCTCTCCACTCTGGCCTCACATCAGTTTTATGCGAACCTTAAGAAGTGTGAAATTGGGAAGGAGCACGTGGCCTACTTGGGTGATGTGATATCAGCTCAGGGAGTGGAAGTGGACAGCGCAAAATCTGAGCTAAGGTGGATTGGCCAGTACATAAAAATCTTAAGGAACTCAGAGGTTTTCTGAAGCTCACGGGCTACTACGGAAAATTCATACACAATTATACTGTGATTGCAGGACTCCTAACTGACCAACTTCGAAAGGATAATTGAGGTTGGACACAGGAAGCTTCTCAAGATTTTGACACATTGAAGGTAGCTATGACTCAAGCACCAATTCTGGCTATGCCAGCCCTTCGTGGTGGAAACCGATGCATCAGAGCATGGTCTGGGGGCTGTACTACTGCAAGGTGTGCATCCAGTAGCTTATTTCAGCAAGGTACTTGGAATGCGAGCTCGGAGTAAGGCCAATTACGAGAAAGAATTAATGGCTATCGTGTTTGCAATAGAAAAATGGAGACACTATCTCCTGGCCAGACACTTTATAGTTTGAACAGACTAGAAGAGTTTAAAGTTTTCGTTAGAGCAACAAGAGATTGGGCAAGCCTACCAGAGGTGGGTCAGTAAGCTAATGGGCTACACCTTCGACATCCATTACAAACCAGGACCCACAAACAAAGTAGCATATGCCTTGTCTCGCAAATATCCACTAGAGGTGGAATGTATTACTTTGGTAACTTTGTGTGCGATACAGGCCTTTATTGAGAAGGATACAACTCTGCAAAGGCTGCGAACAAAGCTCCAGAAGGGAGAAGTTGCCCCAAAGTGGTTTTGTCTAGAGAATGGGGTGCTGAAGTACAAGGGCCAGGTTGTCATACCCAGCAAATCTGAGCTTAGGACTCGGTTGCTCAGGGAATACCATGACTCACCTATCAACGCCTGGCTGCTGAATGGTATTGGTCAGGAATGCAGAAAGATGTCTCCTCCTATGTTAAGCAATGTCATGTGTGCCAACAGAACAAGGCCTCGACCTTATCTCCTCTAGGCCTGTTACAACCATTATCCATACCGGACAAGGTGTGGGAAAACATATGATGGACTTTATTAAGGAATTATCTAAGTCCATGGAGTGGGACTCTATCCTAGTAGTGGTGGATCGACTCACTAAGTATGGACACTTCATTCCCCTCAAGCATCCCTATACTGCTCACAGGTACTTGTAAATGAACAAAATATTGATAAAAACTATCAGTCACCCTTAAATCAATTGTAGTACAAACTACAAAGTAATTAACATTGAACAATACTAATCAATGATGAAAAAGAATTCCAAACCAACAAAAAATTCAACAACAGAACATATACAAGGACAAGACTACAAGATACATCTAAGCAGCAATTATAGGCTTTCATTATAATCCCTTATCAAAAACTCTGTTTGGGAAATGGGGACAGCAAGTTACAAATAGCTACCTAGTAGATAATAGTGTGGGTGTAGGTATGCTCCTTATGATGCATCCCACACACAAAAGGCGCATCACATGTTTCGACAACCGGGTTGATTGGGGCAACATCATCACTCCTCGGTACACCCAAGGGCCAAGGTCAATCGATAATAGTAATAATCAACTACTTTATGTCAAATAAATAGTTCAACCAAGCCATGGTGATCTAACAGGTAAATACTAGCCCATACAAAATCAAAATTTGATGAGAAAAGGACTCACTAAATATAAGATTTTTAAACTCAACAGCCTAAAACAGGTGATTATTATATAAATTTATTCATTGCTGATTGATATTATTTTATCCAAAATTTTCAACTTCTTAAACAGAATTACCCTTTCAGATACACTAAAAGGGTGACTTTCAATAATTTCTTATATCGAAACAATTAACCCTAGTTAGACGAAGGTATATCATGCAGAATAAAAATCAGAAGATTAGGACTCAACAACAACGCCTTAGTCATAAAATAATTTGGGTTCGCCTAATATGAATCGTCATAAAGAAAAATACCACCAATTCTGCAATCGGACAAACAACAAACAAAAATTAAAAAAATAAATAAAAATCAGCAAGCCAGAACTTTCCGGCGACAAATCAAATAACCATAATGTCCATCAAATTAATAGGAAATGAAGTAATCAAGCATAAATTAAAAAAAGGGCCAAAAATTTATGAAAATTCAGAAATAAAAAATTGATCAACTGAAGGAGTAGAATTGATAGAATAAACAAAAGAGTAGTAAATATACCTTGGGAGCTTCGGACACCATGATTAGAGTGTGTGTTGCTAGATTTCTGTGGATGCTTTGGGATACAAGCCTACAAGAGATGTGGGTAGCGTGAAGGGTCCGTGGTATTTACGTCAGCTCATTGGTCAACGGTAAAATTTTTCATACACGGGCGATACCTAAAGTTGGGTACTCCCTCCGTTGTTAAATACTTACTCCAAATATTTTTTTGGGTCGTCGTTAAATACTTGTTCTATATTTTTATTTGGAAATCATTTATAATAATTAAATAATTTCTCTCACCAAGTGGACCCAACAATATTGATTCCATATTCTCTCACTTTCGGATTTTAAAGGGAGGAAAGTTAGGCACTTGTAAATGCATAACTAGGGGCAAGAAGGTCTTTTGGCGCTGTTTTGTTCAATTTCAGCTGGGATCCCGTTTTGCTTTTGTCTGACACCATTATGCTCTTTAGCGTATTTTTTGTACCAGTATTTCTTTTCCTATGTAAATTGTATCTTGTATGTTTTACATATATGAGCTTTATTTTTATCCTCTCCTTGATTCGAATTCAATTTTTCCCTCTCTCATTCTCTCTCCTCTGAGGTCGAATTTTCTTCTTCTTTTTGTGTTTGCTCACCATCGTCCTTCTCCACTCACTTCGTTCTTCTTAAATTATACACCGTCGTCCAATTTTCGAAGCGGTGGTCGAGGAGCTGAAGAACACTACTTGTAGGCTAGCTCAACCCTTCGAACAAGAAAGTTTTATGATGAAAACGTAATTGGTATAACCTAAATCGACGTGTTGTTAGGATTATAATGGTTGAAGTAGAATATGTAGTTTATGAAATCGATTTTTGGTTTGACAGTGATTGGATTTGATATTGGGAAATTTAATGTTAGGGTTTTCGTTTGTTTGTAATTTGTGTTGTTTCCTCATTTACTCCTTTTCAATTGTTTGTAGTCTATGTTGTTCTTCAATTTACTCCTTTTTAATTGATTGAAGTTTGTTTGGTGCCCCAATTTACTCCCTTCCCCTTACAACGATTAATCGGGTTTTTAAATTTGTTAAAGTTATATTTTTCTCAAACAATTGAAAGCATATAAATTTAGGGTTTTACAGTTTTATGTAGCGTTGTTTTTAGGGATTGAATTGTGAGCGTGAATTTTTTCATTCCCGCAGATCGATTCTAAAGGTGTAGGTTTTGCTCCCCAGTGGAGCTGGTTGTTAACCACTGGATTAAGCTGCTAACAGTTTCCCTATGTGATGAATGCAACAGATGTAGTTCAAATTATTAGGCTTTGTTAATATGTGGTGTTATTATGTTATGTGGTTTTGATGGGTTGCTGGTTTTGATGGATTTGAGAATATTTATTGCTACTTTGTTGAAACTACAGGTAGAAGAAAATTATGAAGAAAAAGTATGTGGTTCGGAATTTTAGTTGGCAAAAGGGTGTAAGTTTTGTGTAAGGTTTTGTGTTGTGCTTATTTTACTTATGAAATATTTGGTTTGGGTATTAGGTCACTTTGAAGTCTTGTAAAGGACCTTTAAAGGGGCAAGGGTCTTCTAACATACCTAAGGGACAAGGGTCTTCTAAAGTAGTTGTCCCTAACAACAAATCAAATGCCTATAACATGAATTCCAAGCAATATACTAAAACCGAGGAAGAGGAGGGAGATTACCATGGCTCAAGTAATTCCCAATATGAGGATTCTGTTGAGGAAGGTGAAGATGAACAATCAAGCTTTGAAGTACTGAAGGGATTGTTGATGCATTTCTTACAGAGAGAGAGAGTAAGAAGAGGAAGTCAAAGCATAATGTACGAAGTGAGTCATGGAGTCACATTCACCCGCATTGACCTCTACTCAATTCTTAGAGTGAAAAGTGATTCTTGCGATCTCAAAGGCATACAAACAAAGATTCAATTTGCTCCAAATTATTATTATGCAAAATTGGTTGAATATCAATGCAACATATAATTCTAAAATATTGTGATTACTTGATTAAATTACAAGATTAAAAAGTAACCTAAACTAGTTGGCCAAATTAATATTATTGGAAGCAAATTAACAATAATATCATCAGTTAAATCAAATAATAATAATAACCCTAATCATGATACTAGCAACAAGAATAAAAATAAGAGTAATTAAGTGGTAAATTACTCACTTTTTGCGTTTTCTTGAATTGCTACATCATGAATAAACTGTTAGTAACTTCAATAAAAATATAAATCAAATTGAAACAAAATTAAATTAAATAAAAAGTAGAGTTGATTTGGTCCAAACCCTCAGTCAATTCTACCTTTCACGCCATGGTTTAAGGATGGAACCTCGGGTCAAGTATGTACTCCTTGGAGTGCTTAGGGGGAAATATTATGGAAAAATAGGGTGGCTAGGGTTTAGGCTAAAGAGAGAGAAAAGAATGATTTTTGGTGTAAGGAGAGAGAGAATGATTTTTGGTGCCTCGAATTGCAGAAATGATGGGGGTATATACAGAGGAAATGAACCGGGGATTCCACGAAACCCTAGAAGCGATAGAGCCGCGAAAAAACCCTAATTGGGCATCGTGACACGGTTTATGTACCGCAACACGATACTGGACACCGTGTCACGACATTGTCCACCATGGCGGTACAGAGCGTCGTGTCACGGTGCACAATTCTGCTAAAAAAAGGTCAAAATTCATTTAAGCGCGTGAGAAAAAACGCGGAATAGACACGGAAAAGCACCGTGACACGATGAAGAATATCGTGTCATGGTATAAGGCATCGTGAGACGTCATCTTGTACAGTGACACGGTGTTTAAGCTGTTGCGCGGTAATTCTAGTTTTTTACGCGTTTTTTAAACTATGATAATTTTTGATCCGTAACTCGAAATAAGGCATATAATATATCGTTGGAAAGCCTATCAAGTCTAATTTCCAACCCAATTATATTAAGGTCAAAATGATTTTTTATATTTTGAGATATGACCGTTTTAGTGAAAGGGTGTCGGTTTTAATTTGGACTGAGTTTAGTATTTTGCTCATATCTTCTTCGTTTTTAATCGAAATTGGGCTTATGATATATCTTTGAAAAGCTTATTGAACATCCTATCCAACCAAATAATATTTGGATCAAAATTATAGGCCACAAAATTAATTCAGCTCAGTTTTGTGATGTGGACACCAAAAGAGGAAAATATGTTATGGTTTAAGGAAAATTGAAAGGAATGGTGTCCTTCGAACAAGTCTATTATTCCGATAGAGGGTTCATAATTATTAGAAAGCTAATTATTCAGTGAGGTCAAGTGTTCGGAATTCCTGGGTGGAGGCCGCTTCGGATCAGTAATATTAATGTATAAATTAATATTGCAACTTAATCTTGACTAAACCCTTTGGTTCACACCCAAGAAACTAACGAATCGACGTGACGAATTAATTCGGAAGGAATTAATGAGTTGCCCGAGTAATTAATATTTAGAGGTCAGAAATTTGAGCTTGGAGTGTTGGAAATTCAAGCTTGGAGCATCAAAACCGAGCGTCGGAAGTCGATTCGAAAATAATAAAAGACGAGACGAGAAAATTACTAATAAATCAAAAAAATTACTAAAATACCCCTAGCATCGGAATGCCCCGAGCAAACCGAGTGCTAGGGGCATATGGCCTAGCAAGGTGGCTAGCAAAGTGTTCTAGCGCACCTTGTCTAGCAAGGCCAACTAGCAGCCCGCACCATGTGTGAGGCATGCTAGCAGTTGGCCGAGGATGGCAGCCCACACAAGGTGCGTGGCATGCCAGCAAACCGAGGCTAGCAGCCCGTACCAAGTGCGAGGCTTGCTAGCAAGCAACGGCTAGCAGCCCGCACCGAGTGCGAGGCATGCTAGCAGGCTGCAACTAGCAGCCTGCACAAGGTGCGTGGCATGCTAGCAACAAGCCTCGGCCATAGCAGCCCGCATACTTAGTGTGTGGCCTGCAGGGCCATAGGGTAAAGTAGCGGCTAGCAGCCCACCTTGGGTGCCTTGGTGCCCAAGTGGTGGGGTGCCACGTGGCGCAAAGTAATTGGCTTGAGGATGGCGTGTTGGCTGGCTATGGGAGAGGAGTGGGGAGCAAGTTTGGTCCCCCCTTCTCCAAATGGTCCTCACCTAACCTCTCTTGTGAGCATGCCACTTGTTGATTTATTAGTAGCTTGATGATAGAGGAATAATTGCGTCGTTAGACAACTACACCTAAATCAAATACAATTTTTAACACTCGACTTATCCTAATACAAGTATATGGTAAGAAGAGGGGTCGAACCACAGAGAGAAGCACATAAACACCGCATTCATCACTAGAATTTAAGCTATCTCGGGACAAAGGATAGGAATGACTAAGAGATTAAACTAAAGATAAAATGAGTTAAAATCAATATAACTAAACACCAAGGGAGATGGGTAGATGTAGATGCCGCTTGATCATGCAATAACATAAAGGCAAATCAATAGTGAACTAAACATGCATGAATATCGATATAAGGTTCAATCTAACCGCCTTCCGGGGTTAATCGGTTTTTCCTAACATAGCCTCTATGTTTCCACAATAGAACCATATATTGGGAGGTGCAATCAAAGAGCAATCGATAGTAATGAATCCTAACTAAGTCAACTTCCGTTTCTTGTTAGCAAAGATTCACCTTTAATACTCTAACAATGTGCACTTGCAAGAACATCAAAGAATATCAAGCATGCAAAGATTTTAATCATAATTAACTTAATCCCAATATTATAAGCATGAACAATTAGCAACTACACCATCCCCACACCCTTGGCTAAGAGACTACTCACAAATCATGTTGAGAACAATATGGATCATCAAATCAATAAGCATTAACATGATTAATAAGCAAAGAAGGAAAATCAAAGTAAACAAGCAAAATTAAATGCAAAAGTAAAGAGAAAGAGTAAGAGATTGCTCATTAATTGAAGTTGAAGATCTACAAAAGATTAAACAAGCTTCTTCTTCAATATCCAAGTTCATCAATGAAGAAATCCACACTTTCTCTCTCTACCAAATGAAGACTAAAAGTGTTTCTCTCTAGATTAAGCTAAAAGTGCAGAAAATTAAAACTAAGTTAATCTAATTACATCAAAACGTTCTAAAATGGGACTTATATAGTCCGTATAGAGCCAGCTGAAATAGAGGAGTGGTCC